TTGAACTTCTCTGGTATTAATACATTAAACAGCTGTGGATTTCCTTGTTGGATTAATTTCAACTAATGCATATTCATAACTAGATTGTCTTTCTGTGATTATTGATGAAAAACTAAACACTATGCTGAAAATTTGCTTGGTAGTGGAATATTAATATGACTGTGTATGATATAATCATGTCATAGCCACCTTTAAATTGATTTCTTGCCAGGCTATAAAAGTATACTATCAAGTGACATGTTTTCTTTCTTTTTTTCAACTTTTAAAATTTGAATTAGAAACAAGATTGTTTTACAAGATAATCCCAGTTCCCTTCTCTCTCCCATCCTCCCCCACACACACCCCCCAATTAAAACCCTATCCATCACATATCCTTTCTGCGCCCCCTGGATGGTGAGGCCTTCCATAGGGTGTCATCAGAGTCTATTGTGTCCTTTGGGCTAGGACCTAGGCCCACCCCCATGTGTCTTGGCTCAGGGAGTATCCCTCTATGTGGAATGGGCTCCCAAAGTCCACACCTGTGCTAGGGATAAGTACTGAGCTACTACAGGAGGTCCCGTAGATTTCCGAGGTTTCCTCACTGAAACCCATGTTCCTGGGGTCTGGATCAGCTCCATGCTGGTATCCCAGCTATCAGTCTGGGGAGCAAGAGTTCCCTGATGTTCAGGTCAGCTGTTTCTGTGGGTTTCACTAGCCTGGTCTGGATCCCTTTGCTCTTCACTCGTCCTCTGTATCTGGGTTCCAGTTCAGTTCGATCACCTACATTTATACAACACATTTATACAACACCCTTTCTTTAGTAATCTTTTGTGACTTCAGTGTATCTACACAGAAGCATAACCAGTTCTGATATTATCATCTTGTTTTAATTGTGTTACCTGGCTATTTTTTTGCAAAATATTTTATTTGGTCACTTGAAAAAAAGAACTGTGATGCCAGTTGACTCATCTCTCACATGGTGGAAGGAGAGAATGGACTCCTAAAAGTTGTCCTCTGACCTTCATACACACACGTGCACATGTGCATAAACACCCCCCCCAAACAAACAAATAAATGTGTTTAGTGAGTATGGGGATTAGTCAGCCATCACACTGCATGCATAGAGTTTACCCTTTGGCAAAAATAATTTATCTTCAAATGCTCCCCCCTAATACTTACAATTGGTGTAGGCACATATCTGATACATATTTCCTTATTTAACCAATGTAGACAGTTTGGGTTAAATAATTAAATACAATTTCTTCTTTGCTGCTGATTTAATTCATACTGAAGTGAGACATCCTGGGTTGGTGTTCTTCAGATGACAACCAGTGAAATAAATAGGGCCTTACAGTGTCTTTCTTTTAAAAAGTTATGTTTAACACAGCCTTGCTCATTTGTTGACATGTTGTTTATAGCCATTCCATGCTACAATGGCACATTTGAGGAGTTGTGGGAAATCAAATAGCCAACAGAGCCTAAAATACTAATATTTAATCCTTTATAAAAAAGTTCTGCCCACTTCTGGCATGGATGTACAAGAAAATGTTTTTCATGCATGTAATCACATGTATTTGTGTAGAGGTGTATGTGTACTTCAGGAGCAGCTGTTATGTGTACTGACTTGAGTTTGGTCCTTTGGAGATGAAGTTTCCTGATGTTCAGGCTTGTCATCCTGCCGGCATGCATATGGAACCTGGACTGAAGCAGGAGCTTTGTTTTCAGCACTAGAATAAAGATTTTAATTGCAAGTCTGTGTTTTGGAATATGTAAATAGTAAATTATGTTTTTTTTCACCTTAATTAGTAACTGAAATTAGGAATTCATGGAGAAAAACTGTTGAAACTGAAGATAATAGAAGTTCAGAAGGGATTCTAGTAGATGTCAAAGCTAGAGAAGTGGCACCAGAGTCTTCACCTGTACCGAATAATCAGAGAGAACTACGCATGGCTATTTTTTCCTCCGATTTTGATCAATCCTATTTGCCTGAAGAAAAAACTGTTCCAGATCAGCTCAGAAGTGTGCCTCAAAAACCACTGGTAACAAGTCAGATCGGCGACCCCCCAACAGAAGACGAATCAGACTTGGTAAATAAGAAATCATTTTCTGAGCAAGATTTAGAGTGTGTGACCACCAGGCTTTCAGAAACTGGACAAATGGAGGCATTTTCCCTTGCTGTGGACAGTGGAATAGATGTGGTGGGTAGAAGAGAAGAGGACTCTTTTCGAAAATCCCACCACTCACAAGCTTCTTGTAGTGAACCTTCCACACGTAAAACTCTGTTCTGGGACTCTTTTCAGAGGATGAGTGACATTGGAATATTACATGAAACTCTTCCAGAAGAAGTTGGTCACCTAAGTCTTAATAGTTCTACTACTTCAGAGACCAATTTTAGACTGGAACCAAATAGTTATGTGCACAGTGATGCTTTTCCAGATGATGATGGAAAAAGACAAGCCACTCTAGAAGTGGATTCCAGTTTTCAGGCTATTCTCAGTAGTTATGAGGCTCTGAAGAAATCTCTTAACAAAATAAGGCAAGAATCTCACCTGTCTAATTCCAAGACACTTGAACAAGACAAAGTAGGATTGAGCCCTGTAGCCAAAGACATGCAAGCAGATGATACACATACTTTTTTGGGCACTCAAGATTTGTTTTACACAGAGCCATCTTCCCACATGCCCTTTGATGAAAGAACACAGTCTTTATCACCACTAACTAAAGTTTCTCTGGTGGAGCAAAAATTGAGGACTACGTTACCATGTAGTCTCAGGGAATTTCTGCCTAACTTAAAAGGTAAGAGTTAACCAGACAGAGTATGAACCATTCTCTCAGCTTGAGAGTAGCATTTTACCTCTAGTTAGCCACAAACTCCCTATATGGTTCAGGCTGGCTTCAAATTTACCATGTAGCCCAGGCTATTTCTAATCTCCTGTTCACTTGTTTTTTCATAAATATAGTACCAAGTGCATATCATGGTGGATAATGTTATACTATAATTTTTTTTGGGGGGGGGAGTCATTTCAGAAGAAATGGTAATTTTATTTATTATTTATTATGTAGCCCAGGCTATTTCTAATCTCCTGTTCACTTGTTTTTTCATAAATATAGTACCAAGTGCATATCATGGTGGATAATGTTATACTATAATTTTTTTTGGGGGGGGGAGTCATTTCAGAAGAAATGGTAATTTTATTTATTATTTATTAGTGAGTCTTGCAGAAAGTGATCCTTCTGGAAATCAAGAAATTTGCTACTACTTGGGATTTTCTTTGCAATGCTTATTTTCCTCCTTTAAAAATCAATTTTGCAGAAAAAGAAATCTCAAATAAGAATCTTGAAGCAAGAAAACCTCTGATTTAACGAGATGAAGCGGTTTCCAGTTAATTTAGCTGTGATGCACTTAAACTGAAGCCTTGTCATTTACTGAAGCTGATCTAAACACACCATTGGAAGAATAATAATCTTTTTCCAAGGTCAAAGAGCATGCGAATGCACTTTGGCCTTTTGTAATGTCTTTAGGTATTTATGTCATTTTTTGATAAATATGTGAGGTTGAAATGTGAAGTATTTAGAAATAGCAAAGGTCAAGTTGTGGGAAACCATTTTGATTCCTAGAATAATCTTGTAACATAAGTTAATGGCAAATGTCACAGTTTCGTTAAAATATCAGTTATTAACATAAGGGCCAGTGTGTAATCTAATAGCCCCTGAATAGCCTCATCTTTCACTTTAGAGAAATAAACCAATTTGTTGGATCTTTAAGGTTTGTGAAATTGTAAACAGGCTTAATGAATTCCAATGATGTAGATGGGATAAAGCACGTGTGATAAGACAAGACAATGTATTGAGAAGGGGGGGAGGAGGTAGGTAACCAGACATTGAAATAACACTGTCAAACTGTATTATTTAATTTACATAGATTGAGAATTTAACCCTAGTTTATATTTAACAAAAATATAAATGAAAAATTCACAAGTCTGTTTTACCATTGTTGTTTGTGGGTGATATGGGACAGGTGTTGCTTTGGAGAAAGCAACAAGTTTTATGTTACTGATCAGAATTTATTAGAAGTTCCCTAGTGTCTACAGAGTATTAGAAAATAATTTGAGAAAAATGAACATGGATTTAAGTAATTGTAACATTTGTACATTTTGCCTTATTGTCAAGGCTTCTGGCCCAGAAATGGGTATGTTTATAAGATCTAAGGAGCGATCATACATGTACCTGAATAAATATGACTAGAAAAGGCACTGAAAGATTGATTTATCTCCTTCAGTTCCTGTGGAGCCTCAGTTTGTAACTCAAAATTCTGTCCCCAAGTCTTCTAGAAAATGAGGGAGAAGAAAGGTTGGAGGAAAGAGTACTGGAAGTAGGTGGGCTGATTATCAGAGGAGCTTCTTTGTGGCAGTGGATACAAAGAAAGAGGATAGGTTTCAGAGGTGCTGGGTTTTACGAACACTACTGGGAAACCATTCTGTTGTCTGTTTTACAGACTAGTATCTAAATTCTGAGTAGCATACTAGGTAAGAGGAGTGACTGTCAGACAAACATCTGTCATGCCAGAGCCAAAGCTGAGTGTTTAATATGCATGTTTATTTAACCTTCATAAATGAGATGGCAGGTATGTCTAGCCTGCAGGTAGTGAAGCTATGGACATTAAAAGGCTGGAGTGGAATGCAGGGTCAGACTGTATTAGTGTCATCTGAGATGCCTTTTTAAAAATGGTTGCCTATGAGAGGGCCTAGAAATCTCATCTCAGGTATGCTTCTCTGGTAATTTACAAGTTATGAAGGAGACACTGACTCCCAGACACTGGATTAGCTACAAACCACACCCAAACACCTGTTTTCACAGAGAGACCCTTTATTAAGTGGGGAAGAAAAGTGGCTGCTTTCTGATTCAGGAAGAAAAACAGCAGCAAATGACCTTGCAGGTGTAATATTTTTTTTTTTTTCCGTTTGTTTTTTTGTTTTTCAAGACAGGGTTTCTCTGTGTAGCTTTGGAGCCTATCCTGGCACTCGCTCTGGAGACCAGCCTAGCCTCCAACTCACAGAGATCTGCCTGCCTCTGCCTCCAGAGTGCTGGGATTAGCAGGTGTAATTTTTTTTGTTTGTTTTTTTTGAGACAGGGTTTCTCTGTGTAGCTTTGGAGCCTATCCTGGCACTCGCTCTGGAGACCAGCCTAGCCTCCAACTCACAGAGATCTGCCTGCCTCTGCCTCCCGAGTGCTGGGATTAAAGGCATGCGCCACCAACGCCTGGCAGCAGGTGTAATTTTTAAGAGGAGGAAAAGGGGAGGTCTGTGTTAGAATGGGCTGGGATATGGTGGTAAAGGAGATATGGTACAAGGGAAAGGGGGAAGAGACATTTGTCCCACTGGGACAAATATTTGGTCTCTTTATGGAGAGGGGACAGATGCATAAAAGCAGATGGCAGTTTATAAAGTTACAGGGGGAATCTTGTGTTAGGATGAGGTGTTTAACTTTTATTGGACATGCTAAATAGGTGAACCAAAGGGGACTTCTCATTGCTGGATTTAATAATTTGATAGTTGAACCTTGGTAGTCTTCCTCAGGAGGAGGAAGTAGCCAAATTAGGAAATAGACCTTGGTGGCTAGCTTTAGGAAAGTAATTAACCTGTTTTTAGCAAGGCAGAGGGAATGGGAGAGAAGGGCAAGGCCTGTCAGAGCCACATGATGAGTGGTCTAGTGTCTTCTTCAAGTTCAACAGTTGCTGGTAAGAGGTTGTGATTCACATTAGCCCCTAGGTACCTTTAAGAAGTGATATGCTATCTATGGGCATTGCTCTAGGAGCCCTTCATTATAAGAGTCAAAAGATCAAATATCTTTTGGACTTAAGAGTCACTGAATACCTATGGTCTGCTGAGTGTTCCTGACATGTTTATTTGCTGTTTCAGCATCATAAAAAAAAAATCTCAAAATGTAATTTCTCCAAAACTGATTATAACTTAATGCTTTTGGCACTTTCTCATCTCTTATCTCCTGAAGCTCCCTTGGGCGATGAAGAATTTCTTTGATTATATCCTTCCTTAGAAGCCCATTAATGGTACATTGTAATTCTAGAAAAGACTTTTAATTTAAAGATAGCTTTCCTACTTAAAATCCTCTTTCTTCCTTCCTCTGGGATCTTTTCGAGTACTTACCTTGTCCTTCTAGCTCATCTCAGTTCCTTAATTATTTTTGACTTGAAAAATTTAATAATCTTTAATCATACCAGTTAGAGTTATTTTTTAAATTTTGTTTTTTTGTGTGTGGATATTTGGCTGCATGTCTGTCTGTGTGCCACTTCAGTGCCTGGTCTCCACGGAGGCCTACAGAGGGAGTCAGATACCCTGAGATTTGAGTTACAGGTTGGTGTTAGCTTCCATGTAGGTGCTGGGACTTGAACCTGGATACCCAGAATGAACAGCTAATACTCTTGAATTATGGAGGCATTTCTGTAGCCTGTTATTTCCTTTTTAAGCTCAGAACAGGACTTAAATCCTTTAATAAACACCCTTAAGATGGGCATGCTGGTGCACACCTTTAATCCCAGCACTTGGGAGGAACAGACAGGTGGATCTCTGAGTTTAAGGCCAGCCTGGTCTACAGCCTGAGGACAGCCAGGGCTACACAGAGAAACCCTGTCTCGATAAACCAAAACCAAACCAAACCAAGCCACCTCTAATCCTAGTACTCAGCAGGCTGAGGCAGTTGCATCTTTCAGTCGTGTCTACATAGTGAGTTCCAGGATAGCCAGGGCTGCACAGTAAGACCCTTGTCTGGAGAACAAAGTTCAGAACAAACCACATTTTCCACCTTAAGTCTTAATCTGTCTTCCCTAGATCATGGTCTTAGGTCTTTTCTGAAGTGTATTTAACTTTTGTTGTTTGTTTTGGTGTGTGTCTGAGAGAGAGAGGGAGAGGGGATTTTGCTATTTTGTTTAGGTTAGCCTCAGCTCACAGCAAACTTCCTGCCTCAGCCTCCCAAATTCTGGAACTACAGATGTTTACCTAGTTTCACTTAGTGTCTTCATTAGATACCTTCCCCCAAAGTGTATGTGATCTCTGATCACAGCAGCTATATACAAACTTAGATACCTACTTTCTCACCTATGTAGATGTCTGTGGGGTATGCATGTGCATACAAACACACACATAAACAAAACACACTGATTCCAAAGGTGAAACTCCATTGGTACAGATGCTGAAGTATTGGAATTTTGTGTGCCTACATGACAGAATAAAAGGGGTAAATAAGTAATTTTTTTCTTTGGTTACATAGAGTACACCTTGTTTTCTTCACAAAGATTAAAAAGCTGTGCAAATGGACTTCTACATTAAGTAAAGCTTTAGATGCAAGTGTGTCCCAATTATTACTGTGGAGGTGGGATCAAACCTATGAGTGCTAAGGATGCACTCTCATTCCCAGAAAATAAAATGTTTAAAGAGGACAAGCACACAAATGATGCTGAGCGTGAAAAAATGTTACCAAGTGGGATAAAGAATAGTTTGAGAAGTTAAAGAACATTTTGGAGGGCAGGGATTAGCTGAACTGAATATACTAAACAGCCATTTTGAAACCTTTACTTTCCTTAGCTATAAGATATGACATCTATTTTATCTAAAGTATAAACAGGAATTCTTGAGACCTGTATAGAAGCAAACTATTTTTTCCCTAGTGCACTAAAAGAAAATGTGTTCAAGGCCTTTTGTTTAATGTGTGAAGATGGTGTAAAGTTCAGTTTCTTTATGTGCCAAAAGCTGGTAAGTCTATACTCTTAAGTAGAAAATGTCTGTTTGTCCTATTTATAAGTGTGTTCTACATACTACTATCTAGAATAAATATTCAGTGTTTTACCACCGGTCTGGAATTCTCTGTGTTTCAAAAAGAATTATGACTCCAACACATGGCTAATTACCACTTATAAAAGTAACTTGACCAAAATAATTTGAAAGGCTCGGTGATACAGGTGAGAGTATTTTCTTACTGACATTATAATCCCTAGAATCCAGATTTACTACAACAGGTTTTATTTTGAGGTAAGGTTTTGCTCTGTAGCCCTGCCTGGCCTGGAACTCCCTGTGTAGACCAGGGTGACTTAAGTGGTCTTTCTACCTGCCTCTAGGTGCAGGGATTATAAGGTTGTGACACCATGCTCATTATACACCATATATTTAGTAGCTTCTTGCTTTTCATGGGTAGGGAACCTGTCATCACACCTTCTGCTAGTGTTCAGTATATATTGTAAAAAGGCTTAGACATTTTAAAGCCTTACCACTCATATGCACCGCCTTACTTGTAAAACGAAAAGCTCCGAGTTGATCAGAAGTCTCTATTCTATTCTAAAAGACTATTTAACACAGCCGTTAAGCTATTACTAGAACTGGAATGGCAGTTTATATCTGTATTGTTTTTACCGTACCATATGGCCAATGCACATCAGGAACCTCAGAATCCTTCCCCACAAAGTAAGTGATCTACAAATCTGGTCAGTATCATGCAATTCCCAGATAAATACAAAAGGCAAAACACTAATTCTGGGACTTTGCTTTCTTTGATTTGTAAATTTAGCATTGCATGAAGAGATAATCTATACCTAAAATAATAAGTTTTTTTTTTTTTTAGGCAAGACCTTACTATAACCTAGGCTGTGCTTAAATTATTTATGGTGGTTGATAATCTTACTTTAGTCTCTTGAATACTGGGATTACAGGGAATGAGCCACCGCCAGCAAAAGCTAGGTTTTTATTTTTGTTTGTTCTTTAAAACAACTTTTCTGTCAATGGTGGTAAAGGGCATAATAGGAAAGACAAAGGCTCTCACCTTAAGGTCATGGCAGTTTCCTTATGTATTAGTGCTGAAGTAACCATCTCTCAGGTTGTGAGGATAAATTAAAACACATGCAAGTCAACTATTTAATACCTGGTATGTAAAGGGTTTGAACTTAGCCAGATGTCACATGCAGTAATTAGAGGAATGGCTCAGTGGTCAGAGCTAACTGGGTATACTATTATTCTGTGTTAAACTTTTGGCAGTCTTATGTCATGGTATTATTCGACCCACAACCAAGGGAACAGGCACAGTGAAATCAAATGTCTTGCCCAACTGACAAGTACTCTGCCATTGAGCTATATCCTTATCCTAAGAAATTCTTGGGCCAGGGGTCTCATGTGATCTCTGGATAGTCTCAGACCTTCTGATGACCTTGAACTCCCAATCCTGCCTTCACCAGGGATTACAGGCATGCGCCACTACCCCATTTTTATGTGCCGTTGGTGTCTGAACCCGGGGCCTTGTGCATTGCTAGGCAACCCATCTACCGGTTGAGCTACATTATATAAATATCCAGCCCTTGAATCCAATTTTTAATTAAAAAATTGTATGTGTATGGCTGTTTCATGCCTGGTGCTTGCAGAGGTCAGAAGACGGTGTTCGGTCCCCTAGAACTGGAGTTACAGATGGCTGTGAACTGCCTTGTGGGTGCTCAGAATCCTGGGAATTGAACCCAGGTATTCTGGTGAAGCAGGCAGTGCTCTTAACCATTGAGTCACCGCTCCAGCCCCTTGAGTCTTAACCACTGCTTCCAGCTGCTATGAAGCACTGCCAGAGTAATGGAGGCCCAACTAGCAAACAATAAATACTGTGGATAATCAGAATCTTTAATATTAAGGACCTTCAAATTATTTCAAACAACGTATTTTAAGTTGCTAATAATAAATGTTTATTCATGATTGAAACCGAGGATTTAGAAATACATTTTAATATCTTGCTGATAAAATAGTAACATTCCACCTTTGTGATCTGATAATACAGAAGATAACTGCTTTAATATTCTTATCTATTATAACCAGGTAACCAGAACACACACACAAACCACCTACTTTAGTGCTACACCACACCAACTTTTCATAAAGGCCGTCTTGAAGCTCTACTGGGTAGCTGAGTACATAGCGTCCAATGCTAACACTAGGGATGAGATGGGATAGTAAGCACACATTTCAAAGCTCACTTTTTAAGCACACGACATTATGAATATCAAAAACAAGGGATGCAAAGGAAAAAAAAAAGTAATTCGGCATTTTACTAAAGAACATTTGGCATTACTCAACGCATGAGGAGGCTGTGCTTGGGGCCATCTACTCTCTCTAGCTTCTCAAAGTGTTTCCTGGCATTACGAATGTTGATCAGAGTAGCTGCAGAAGGGATGGATGGATCTGACATGACCACCATCACATACGTGTTTGATGTGAAGATGTCGATGAAGGCAGCGAAGTTGGAATTCCTCACTTCCATGCTCTGGAAAGAAGCGGCCAATTTACTGCAGCTCAGCTTGAACTGCTTGATGATGTTGCTGATCTTCTCAAAGCGGTGCACATCACGCTGCTCTTTGCACTGGTAGTGGGAAATCACCAAGAACGTCGCTCTCTCGAACAGCAGAACTTCATCAGCCTCAATAATCTGGGCAAAATTCCTTAGGTTCATCTCCAGCTGCTGAACGTTGGGGATCAGCTGATAGACGATGCTGGACCAGGCTTTGTAGAGCGTCTCATCCCAGATGGACGTTCGAAAACAGGCGCACTCCAGCGGGCGAGACAAACGCCTCAGGTCTTCCTCTCGCTCTTTAAAAATCAGGTCACGTTGATCTTCCTGAACCAGATCCATTTTGTGCACTAGGCAGAAGATTTTGGCATCAGGTGAATTCTGGAGGATGGCTTCCAGACACGACTGGTAATAATGCATGTCTTTTTCCAGTTCGCGGCTCTCTACGTCAAACACGTATATCAGAACCTCCACGTTACGGAAGATGTTGTCCCGCTGGCTGGTGAAGTAATTTTCCATAAAGGTGTCCTGGCCGCCACAGTCCCACAGGTTCAGCACCAGGTTCCCCAGGAATCGAACGTGGGAGTGCTCCACGTCGATGGTGGCACCCAGGCGCCTGGTGTCGCGCGCAATGTAATTTGCAAAGATAATAGACCTCATGCTGGTCTTCCCCGACCCGCTCTTCCCC